TCATCATCATCTCATCATCATCATCATCATCAGCATCATCATCATCATCATCATCATCATCATCATCATCCTCCTCCCCCTCCCACCTTCTCCTCCCCCTCCTCTCCCACCTCCTGCCAGCATCATCCCTCTCCGACTCTTCCAGCTGAGTGGTGCGAGGGCATTGTTCCGAGAAGGCCTGGTCGACCAGGCGCGCAGCCGCTCGCATGCCCCTCGCAACAGATGCGCTCATCGCCCATGCCTCGGGGACGCCTCGCCGAGCCCGTCCTCCCCTGTGGAGGAGGAGGACGAGGAGGAGGAGGAGGAGGAGGAGGAGGAGGAGGAGGAGGAGGAGGAGGAGGACGAGGAGGAGGAGGAGGAGGAGGAGGAGGAGGAGGAGGAGGACAACGAGGATGCTCCTCCTGCTGATCTTCTCCCCACTCCTGCTGCTGCTCCGCCCAGCGCCCCCTGGGGACCGTCGCCGAGGTCCGAGTGCTGCTGCAAAGGGTCCAAGAGGAACCCCTTTGACGGGGATTGCGCCCCGGAGAAAGCAATCCTCGTCATCCTCCGCCAGCCTCCTACCCCTTTCGTTTCCTGTTCGGTTTCCCCGTCCTACTCTCCTCCCCCCCTTCCACCCCCCCAGAGCTAGCGTCATCCAGAGGCGTCGGCCTCATTCACCTGTACTTTCGTCTGCAGTGGTGGTTCGTGTCTCCGCTCGTTGTTCCAAGCCCCCCCCCCTCATCCTGTTCCTCCTCCTTCCCCTCATCCCTCTGCTTCCGCCATACCCCTGATGATGATGAGGAGGAGGAGGAGGAAGAGGAGAAGGAGGAGGAAGAGAAGGAGAACGAGGAGGAGGAGGAGGAGGAGGAGGAGGAGGAGGAGGGGAGGAGGAAGAGGAAGAGAGAGAGGAGAGGTGGAGGAGGAGGAGGAGGAGAAGGAGGAGGAGGAGGAGGAGGAGGAGGAGGAGGATTAGGAAGAGGAGGAGGAGCAGCAGCAGAAGTTGGAACAAGCGGAGCGTGGAAGGGATGAGAAGGAGGAGGAGGCGGAGGAGGAGGAAGAGGAGGAGGAGGACGAGGAGGAGAAGATGGAAGACGAGGAGGAGGACCAGTGTAAACCCAAGAGCCATCAACTGAGATAACTGCTTCGTTGGAAGACAGCCGTTTGAAGACCCTGATGCATGCCAAAACATCGTTCTCGGGATTCCAGCGCCACGGATCAAGCTGACTGTTGCGTCTGGACGATCCCGAATCGCACAAGCACGAACTTGGGACGTCAACACCGCGAATCACCCTCATTCTCCTGAATCGTTCCAACACGCAATTTCTGGTATGCTGATCATGTGAACCCGTGAAACTCATGCAAATATTAAAACAAATGTGCGCGGCGCGAAAGCGACAGCTACAATTTGAAAAGGAACCGCCCTGAATCCGTGAAGCTCTTGCACATGTTTCACTATAATGTGCGCGGCGCTAAGGCGAGAGCCTCATTTCGGATAAAGAGCCGCCCTCATTTCGTGAAGCCCTTGCAAATATTTTGCAAACAAATGTGCGCGGCGCTCAGGCGAAAACCATACTTTGAAAACCACCCGCCCTCAATCCGCGAAGCTCTTTTAATTTTGTAATACGAATGTACGTGGTTCTAAGGCGAATACCACATTTTGAAAACCACCAGTCATCCATTTGTGAAGTTGTCTCAGGCGAAACGCCCAGACCGCCGTAAAAACTTGCTTCGGGGTGCGACAGGGAGAAGTTATTTATCAGGCAAAGGACAGGAGTTCGGGGAAGAGGAGGAGAAGGAGGAGGGGGAGGAGGAGGAGAAGGAGGAGGAGGAGGAGGAGGAGGAGGAGGAGAAGGAGGAGGAGGAGGAGCAGAAGGAGGAGGAGGAGGAGGAGGAGGAGAAGGATGAGGTGGAGGCGGAGGAGGCGGAGGCCCCCCGCTTCTCCGGTCCCCTCCCCGGGCCCAAGCCCCCCAGGTGTCCGCGAAGCAGGTGAAGATGCCGGACGCCGTGGTGCTGATGGACGGCCTGACCCTGGAGGAGGAGGCCATGGAGAAGAAGTTCGCGGGCCGCGGCTGGGAGGCCATGGGGTGGGGGGGGGGGGGAGGCACCCAGAGATCCGACGCCCCCATAAAACTGGAGCGGCGTTTTTTATCCCTGTGTTCAGCATGCATGCTGGGGGCCCCCGCTGGGCCTCGGGGGCGTCAAAAAACGACGCAGGATGAAAAGCCGGCCCCAGGGAAGTGGTCCGGACTTCCAGGGCCCGCGCATCGAAACAGTTGGAGCGGCCGGATGTCTGGGGACCCTCTCGTCTCTCCTTCTTTGGTCCTCTCTTCGCTCGTCCGCTGGCTCGCCACCCGGCTGCTCGCTCACGTTGTTTTTGGGCGGCTCGCCGCCTTGTCGCTCTTGCCCCGCCCCTGTGTGCGCGTCTCGCGCGTGCCCGCCGCGGCCGCGGCAGTCGAGGGGCCGCGGCGGCCATGGAGAAGCAGTTCGCGGGCCGCGGCTGGGAGGCCGACCGACGTCTTCTTGAGTTGTCCGATGCGCGGTTCCCGGGAGTCCCGACCCTTTCCTTGGGACCGTTTCTTGTTGAAGCAAAAAGTAGATAACGACAACATGCAGGGGCTTCGGCCCATTGCTCTCTTTTCGGCCTGCTGGCCAAAGGCCCTCCACCAGCAGGGTGCCGAGCCGCGGGCGTCGGAACTGGACGCGCAGAGATACCGTCGGGGCGCTGCAGCAGGAACCCTTTTCGCTGGGGAGGGGCTCGGTGTTCCTTCAGTGTTTCACAGTTTGTCTGAGGTTAGCCTCCGGCTTTCCACGGGAAGCAGAAGTGTAACGTGTGGGAAAAAGGGGCCTCGTTCCTTACTTGGGGTTCCTTAGGTCAACGCGCCGACTGTACCTGTGCGGGAGGGGGCGGGGGGTCTTCCACACGAGGCGGGGCATGCGTGCGTCCGGCACGTGTTTCCCCACGTGCTCCCGGCCACGGCGGGGCCGCAGGCGAGGGGCCCAACCCGGGGCGCGGCAGCTTTCTGCCCCGCCGCGGGGCCGTTTTCCTGCACAGGTCCTGGGGCGCGGGGTGCGAAGGCGCGTGCGCGCGGGGCATGCGGTCTCACGTGTCCACGGCCCCCCAGGGTGGGGGGCCTGCCCTGGGCGCGTCGGATTCGCCACGTGCGAGAAGACGTGCGCGGCAGGGGGGGGGGCCTAGCATGCGCCTGGCGCGTGCGCGCAGGGCAGATGTGTAAGTCGGGCCTGAACCCTCTACAGGGGGGATATTCCAAAATGGTCAAACAATAGTCTGGGGACTATTTTTGGAGTATGTTTGGGCATCTTTTGAATATTTTTAGGGTATTTTCGATTCTTCGTCCAACATCGGCCTTGTAGGGGGACACGCCCGACTTAAGCATCCGTTCTCGCACCGTGTCCGCGGCCCCCACATATTTGGCGGGACCCAAGTTGGGCGCGCCGGCTTCCTGCACGGGGAAATGCGCTCGCGGAGGGTGGGTGGGTGGGCGTGCCTCCTCCTCCTCCTCCTCCTCCTCCTCTCCTCCTCCTCCTCCTCCTCCCTCCTCCTCCTCCTCCTCCTCCTCCTCCTCTCCTCCTCCCTCTCCTCCTCTCCGCCTCCTCCTCTGGGGTGGTGGGTGGGGGGGGCGGGGCAGCAGGAGCGTGGCGCGCGCGCGCGCCGGGCGCGGCGCGCGCTCACGCGTCCGCGGCCCCCCGGGAGGGGGGGGCCCCGCGGGCCGCGTCGGATGCGCTCCGCGCAGAGCAGACGCGCGCTGGGGAGAGGGGCGGCGGTGCGCCTGGCGCGTGCGCGCGGGGCACGCGCTCTCGCGCGTCCACGGCCTAGAGGGGGGGGGCCCCACTTGAGCGCGTCGGGTTCGCGACGTGTGGGAAGACGTGCGCGGCAGGGGGGTTGGGGGTGGGGGTGGGGGGGGGGCAAATTCTGCACACGTAACAATACGTACGCGGAGCGGGGGGAAGTCACCATGCGCCTGGCGCGTGCGCGCTGCGTGGGGGAGGAGGATGAGGAGCAGGAGGAACAGGAGGAGGAGGAGGAGGAGGAGGAAGAGGAGGAGGAGGAGGAGGAGGAGGAGGAGGAGGACAAGCAGGACGAGCAGGAGGTAACGGTCGCAGCCAAGCAATGGGAAAGTGATGCACGCGCGTCAGAGGAAAGTTTGACTCAAGTTCCTTACCGGGTTCGTGGATCCCTCAAGTTCGACGGTCCCGGGGCTGGCAAGGGCCCACAGAGGCCGAACACGGCGCCACACTTCTCGTCCTGCTTTTTCTGGACGCGAGCACGTCTGGGCCCGAGGAGGGGAAGGGGGGGAGATGGTTGAATCCACGCTTGCTGGCGCCACGGGTCCGTGATCAAGTCCATGCTGGCGTGGAAGGGAGACGGAGCAGGAGTAGGGCAGAATGGGCATTCGGTGGCTTCGAGGCGGGTCTCGGAGGGGTTCGGCGGATAAGAGGAGGAGGAGGAGGAGGAGGAAGAGGAGGAAGAGGAGGAGGAGGAGGAGGAGGAGGAGGAGGAGGAGGAGGAGGTGGAAGAAGAGGGAATAGGAGGAAGAGTGTGATGATGAGGAGGAACAGGGCAGGAGGAGGTGGAGGTGGCACACTCGAGACACCACGCAGGATGCTCGAGGCACGCTCGGGACATCTCGGGGTCTCAAGCACCCTCTCGCGGCGGTGCTCGGCAGCCTGGCCACGCCGCGGGCGCCGAGGCCGCGGGCAGCCTGGGCGCCAGACGGCGGCCCCGGCCCCGCCGCGCGAGCGGGCGCGGGCGGCTGCCCAGGCGGCGAGGGCTGCGCTGCGCTCCGCGGGGTGGTCGACCCTGCGGCGATTCCTCCCCGCGACGGCCGGCCGGCTGCCGCCAGGTTCCGCGAGGCGCGGCCTCCTGCTTTTGGAGCGCCCCCCTGGACCGGGGCTCGGTGGTGGAGCCCGGCGCGCTGCTGGCAGAAGGCGCTTCGGCGTGACGCGCCTCTTCGGCGCGAGCGGCCACGCGGGGTCGCAGCCCCTGGCGACCCTCCGTCGCGTCACGCAGGCACTGAGCACGGCCGCGCCGCGGGCGCCGTCGCGAGGGCCACGAGGCGCGCCACCGCAGGGGCCCTGGCGCGGCGCGCCGGCCCGGCGCGCGCTCGGCGGCCTCTGCCGCGGAGCGCGTGCGTCGCGATGGCAGGGCTGCTGGCGAGCTGGCACTGGGCGCGGATGGCCACGCGCGTGATCCTCAGCTTCCCGTGCTGCCTGCGCCCCGGGCGGGGCGCTGCGCCTCCGGGGCGCTGCGCCTCCAGGGCCGCAGCCAGGGCCGACCTGCGGCTGCAGCGGGCCGGGCCTACGACGAGGGGGCCCTCCCGTTGCACGACGCGGTGGGCCGAGCGTCGAGCCGGGCGGGCCGCTTCGAGGAGTCGGGCATCGTCGACCATGCGAGCTGGATGTTCCCAGTCCCGGAGGCGCTGAAGCTGGGCGCGCGTTCGGAGGACTGCCCGTGGGACTTCGGCCTCAGTGCGTGAAGGAGTCGAAGCTGCTGGCCCAGCTCCATACGGCGCTGGCCGCCACGCTCTCCTTCGGCAAGCTGGTCGAGGCGAACTTCAGGGCCGTGATCGAGGGCGCCTTGTCCGGCGGGCCGCGCCCGCTGCGACCCGTGGTGCCAGCTGCCCCGGGTGGGCGCCCAGCCCAGCCTGGCGGCAGGGGCACGGGGCGACCGAAGCGGCGGCGCCGACGACCGCTGAGAAGGGAGCTGCGCGCAGGCACGTGCAGGCCGCCTTCCGACGTGCTGTCCGCGAGCAGCGTCTTCATAAAAGGGCGCGCGTCTGCCGAACTCTTCTGCAGCAGAGGCAGCATCGCTGCGGCCATGGGAGCAGACGGTCTCTCAGCCCCGGGATCCGACATCAGCCGAGGCGCCCACGAAAACCACGTAGTGCACGAGCTGTTTGAAGTACTCCACGGTTGGGTCGCCGCCGGGTGCGTGGCTGGCATCTGGCTTGGGACGCCCTGCCCGACGCGGGGTCGGGCCCCTCGCAGACCCTTGCGGTCCCGCGCGCCTTGACGTCGGCAACCACACTTTCAAATTCACGTGCAAGGTCATCCGGCTTGCCCTGATGTGGAGAGTCGCCACCTTCCTGGAGAAGCCGGCGGGGCCCCTCACGCGGCGCGCGCCTGAGCTGGCCTGGCTGCTGCGGGCCCTGGAAGCTCAGAAGGTCCAGCCGCGCATGTGCCAGGTTGGGGCGCCGTGGCGAAAGGCGACCATCGTTGCCGCCTGGCGCGCGCTGCCGTTGCATGCCCTTGGCCTTCGTTGCACTTGTCGGGCAGGTACCTGCTCGAAGTATAAGAAAAACACGCGTTATTCCCTCTGGGCGCGCTCCTGGGGGATCTCAAGTCGTCTTGCGTCCGAAGATCCGGAAGCCTCTGCTCAGAGATCCACTCGGAGTCGACCTCTCTCTTTTTGAAGACAAGCGTGTTCGAAGATGCTTGCAGTTTGCTGCTGGTAATTCCTGGAGTGCCTTGGGTGTCCTGGGTATCCTTGGGTATCCTGCACACCGGCCAGTTCACCATCTCTCTTGCGTGCCTCTGTGCGGTGTGTGTGTGTGTATGTGTGTGTGTGTTGGTGTTGGTGCTTTCCAAATTGTCCTGTCTCCCCCTACTTGCAGCAAGCTGTAACGCTAACGCGTTTATGCAGTGTTTGTGCCCTCGGCTTGGCGCCCACGGCCTCGAGGTCCTCGAAGTTAATTGTCTGGTCAGCCCCTCACACAACAAATGAGCCTGGCGGGTGAGACAGTAGACAATATGTATGCGTGTATATATATATACATACATATACATATATATATATACACACAGATACATATATATATATAAATATATATATATATACATAGATACATATATAGATACACAGACACAGTTTGTATCACACATATTGCGCATCAACTACTGAACTTGAATGCGCAGCATAAATCGCACAACGTCTGTTTCCCAAGCAGCGCTTGCACTTAGGAGTTCTTGCTTCTGCTCAAAGGAACTGGGCCGTGTGGCCAGTCTGGCGGCTATGTGTTCGCCGTCGCCGCCCGTCGCCGCCTCGTCGCCGCCCGTCGGTTGGGCCGTGTGGCTGGTCCGGCAGCTATGTGGTCGCCGTCGACGCCCCGTCGCAGCGTCGTCGCCACCCGTCGCCTGGGTCGGTTGGCCGGTCTGACGACTACGTGGTCGCCGTCGCCGCCCCGTCGCCGCCTCCTCGCCGCCTCGTCGCCGCCCTGTCGCCGCTTCGTCGCCGCCCGTCGCCCACGTAGATTGCACGGCCCAAAAAGTCGCGCCTGCGGCGCGCTTGTTGGTCGTTCGCAACATACCCAGGTTGCAATACATTTGTATTGCAAAGCACAGATGGCACCAACAATATAGCACAAGTACATCAGTTGCGCCATAAAAATTCTCCTTCCAAAAAAACATAATAGGATCTACCCCCCTGGCGTTATCGCTTCACCTTTCGGGCATGTACATCCTGTATGATTCTGACCACATGTCCATCCTAAATATGAATTCCCCGGGGGGCCGGTATCCCCCCCTGAGGTTCCCTGGTGAACAACACTATGCGGTGACATGTTTTGTTCTAACATAACACTTCCCTTGCAACAAATGGGACGAAGTGCACACGCGCGCGTCGTCGCGCGCGCATGCCGAAATCCTTCAAAAACCCTCGGTGCCGGAAGGATTTCGCAATCGAGTTTCCAAAAAACATACAACAAAAACACAGGGCTTCGCAACACAAATTTGCAAAAAAAACTTCCGCGCGAACTCTTGCGAAATCTTAAGAAAACCATGCGTTTTTCAATATTTTCAGAAAGTGCGCGCATGTCGAAATCTGTCGAACGCCCTTGCGCGTGTGCCGTCGCGAGAATCCCCTGCAACAGATGGGACGAAGTGCAGACGCGCGCGTCGTCGCGCGCGTATGCCGAAATCCTTCAAAAACCATCGGTTTCGGAAGAATTTCAAAATTGTGTGTCCAAAAAACCTACAAAAACCCAGGTTTCGCAACACGGATTTTCAACTAAATCGTGCGCGCGCGCTTTTCTGTCGTCGTCGTCGTCGTCGCCGTCCTCCCTCCTCCCGCGTCGTCGTCGTCGCCAACGTCGTCCTCTGTCTTTCCTCGTGTTCGTCGTCGTCGTCCTCGTTATTGTTGTTGTCGTGGTCGTTTCCGTTGTCGTTGTCGCCGTGGTCGTCTTTCCTCCTCCTCCCTCGTCGTCGTCGTCTTCCGTCGTCGGCGTCTCGTCGTCGTCCCTCCTATTTCGTCGCCGTCGTCGTCGTCGTCGTCGTCGTCGTCGTTGTCGTCGTCGTCGTCTTCCTTCCTCCCTCGTCGTTGTCGTCGTCGGCGTCGCCGTCCTTCCTCCTTCTTCGTCGTTCGCGTCGTCGCCGTCCTCCCTCCTCCCTCGTCATTGTCGTCGATGTCGTCGTTGTCGCCGTCGTCGTCCTCCCTCCTCCCTCGTCGTCGTCTTCGTTGGTGACGTCGTTGTCGTCGTCGTCGTCGTTGTCTTCGTCGTCGGCGTCGTCGTCGTCGGCGTCGTCGTCGTCGTTGTCATCGTCGTCGTCGTCGGTGTCGTCGTCGTCGTCGGTGTCGTCGTCGTCGCCGTCGTCTTCGAAGTGGTTGGAGACGTCGTCGGTGTCGTCGTCGTCGGTGTCGGCGGTGCCGTCGTCGTCGTCGTCGCTGTCGTCGTCGGCGTCGGTGTCCTGGCCAAGTGCCATCTGGTACCCACCGTCACGGTCTTGTCTTAAGAGGCCTTGCGACCAAGTTGCGGGTGGGAGGGTGGGATGTTTGCACGAGCAGTGGAGAGGACAGCTTCAAGTTGAGCAAGTGATTGATTGCACACCATAGATGACACAACACATAATGCACAACCACATGAACTCCTCAATCTATACCGCACAACCTAGAGTGCGCCACCTATATTGCACCGCATATTTTGCACCACGTGAACACACACGAAGGGTGGTCATACAGGTGTGTGTATATATATATATGTATGTATATATATACACACACATACATATATATATATATATATATATATATATATATATATATATCCCTGGGGGGCAGGCCCAGGGCCCACAAACAGGTGCCCCGATCACCCATGGCGGGACGGGGCGGCCGGGGAGGTCCAAAATAGTCCAGGGGCCTCAAGAGGCCCCCCAAGCGGCCCAAGCGGGCTCCGAGTCGCCGAAAGACGGCTCCTGGACGCCCAATGTAGGCCGAAGACCGCCCGAGAGGCCCCCCCAAGGCACTCCACAACGCTCCAAGACGCCTTTCCAGAGCGCTTCAAGTAGCCGAAATCGTCAATATTACGACGGTTTTGGAGAGATTTTGGCCTTCCAGCCTTTTCGGCTGTCCGACGTTCCAAGACGGCCCAATAGGCCCCCAAGAGCGCCCCAAGACGGCCCAAGAGGGCCCCCAGAAGGCCCCAGAGGCTCCCAAGACAGCCCAAGAGAGCCCCAAGACGGCCCCAAGATGCGCCCAAGAGGGGGACCACGACTCCAAAATTCGACCCTCCCGCTTGAAGAGTGCCCCAGGAGGCCCCGAGGAGCCCCCAAGAGGCCCCAGGAGGCCCCCGAGAGGCACCCAGGAGGCCCAAACGAGGCCTCAAGAGGCCACAAAACAGCCCCGAGGAGGCCCCACAACGGTCCCAAAACGGCTTCCGAGAAGCTGCGAAACTGCCTTCACGACGTCCCCGACAGGCCAACCACGAGATCCAAACCAACACCCATGAGGCCTCTGACCCACCACCTAGGGCACCCGCCGCCCGCCCGCCGTCCGCGTAGCACGCACCACTCTGTACTCAACAGCTTCAGTCTCCAAGACAACACCCTGTGGTAGCCCCCGTCTCAACAAGCTCCCGCTGCAAGAGAGCACCCTTAAGGAATTCATTCAAATCCCGACCCGCCCGCCCGCCACCCGCCCGCCCGCCGCCCGCCCGGCCGCTCGCACGCCTTCCGCGTAGCACGCGCCACCCTGCACTCAACAGCCCCCGCCTCCAAGACAACACCTAGCATTCAACAGCCCCCAGGGCTCCCGGGACTACCCGGGCCCGCTCCCAAACACGCCACGACACGCCAAGAGGGCCATAAATATTGCCAAGACAGCCTGAAGAGGCCCCAGACACGCCGAAGATGGCCTCAGGACGGCCGACAACGCCGCCAAAATGCCCCAAGAGCGCCTCCAGAGGCCCCTGCAAAGGGCCCCGCATTTTTGCGCTCTCGCATGTTCCGCCTCCCCACTGTCCCGCACGGCGTCAGAGGCCCTTCAGATCGCTCCAAGACGGCCGAAGAGGCTCCCAAGAAAGACCAGATACGGCCCAGGAGGCATCCCAGCTAATTCAAGAGGGCCTCGAGAGCGCCCCAAGAGAGCCCCAAGAACGACCCAAGAGGGCCCGAAGAGCGCGACATTTCAAGGTCTCCGGCCTGAGAGGCTCCTAGAACGCCCCCAGAGGCCATCAAGAGGCTCCCAAGAAGCCCCGTGAGGCTCCCAAGAGGCTTCCCGGAAGCCCCAATAAGAGCCCAAGGGGCCCACAGGGAAGCCCCCCGCGGGCCCCCCAAGAGACCTCGGTAAATCGTATTTCCCAGAGCTTTCCAGGAACATGATTCCTTCGGCTTCCGCCCACCGCCCCAACCATGTTTCCAATAGGCTTGCCGACAAGGCCAAAAAGGGCCCCTCGGTAAGCCCCCAGAGGCCCCCCTCTTAAGAGAGCCGAACAAATCATGCTCCTGGAAAGCTTCCCCGGAACATGATTCTCGGGTTGCCGCCCTCTCCCCCAACCATTTTCCCTAATTAAACGCTTGCCAGGATAACAAAAAAACAAGAGTCCCAAGCAGCGCTACCTGCCGCCACGCTTGGAAACGCGTCAGGCCCCGAAGCCTCCGGATGCGCCCAACGACACCCCAACAAATCATGTTCCCAGGAAGTCTTACGGCCAGTGCCGCCGACGTTGAAGGAG